ATATATATATACACACACCTTGCTACGTGTACTGTGTTAGGTTAACCGAGACTTGTCATTTGCACTTATATATTGTTTCTCTTTTGTTAGTTTTGACTGCTTTAAATGTCCTCATTTGTAAGTCGCTTTGGACAAATATTGTCATGTGAAACCTGAGGTTTGGAATTTCAGTTCACATCATTAAATATCTGCTCTCAGTGCCAATAGGCTGCCACATTTGTAGTTAATGGAGAAAAGGGAAGTTATTGCTTCAGCTCTGAGTGGTGGTCCCTTCTTTTTCGCCACCCCCCTGCAATGTGGCCCCTCCCCCTAACCCCCTCTCCCTCTGCAGTGTACGTGTGTGGCATTTTGAGCACACTGGCGGCAGCAGGTGGAGATGACATCATCTGCACTGCAGCAGACTGCAGCACTGTGTCGGAACAAAGACATGTCAATGCTGCTGCTAACTGGTGCTGCCACACGGCCTCTCTCTTGGCATCTTTAGTCTCTAGGTAGCTTACTTTCCTTCTGTCTCTCTTTCTCCCTCTCTGGCATGGTATCTGCATAAAGTTTTAATGCTGAGAGCAGGCAGGCTGAAGCCCACTGATTCAATAAGTCATAGTTTAAATGAAAAATAATAATGCAAGTCCTCACCCACCAAGGTTTATTAATGGTAGTTGTTAAGGCTTTGAGGTGGTTTAAGAGATTTGAACAAATCCTTAACCTCAAGTATTAAACTTTGAAAAATAACATGTCCTGCAGATTTTTTGCTGAAAAGTTGAATGAAAGCTTTACAGACAATGTAACCACCCAGCAATGCGTTTGGGGTCAGTTAGATTTTTTATGCCTCTTATGCTCACCCTAGCAAACATTCAGTACAATACCCTGGCAACCATCCAGAGCACCCAGGAGTCATGGTGGCAAATTTAGCATGGGCTCTTTTGACCTGGATCAATACGAAACACCAACACTCTGGAAACTATATAGCAGTGTGTTAAAATCACATAGGATACCTTAGAAACCACATAGCACACTCTTAAAAATAAAGGTGCTTCACGATGCCATAGAAGAACCTTTTTGTCTAAATGGTTCCATAAAGAACCTTTAACATCTGAAGAACCTTTCTGTTTCACAAAAGGTTCTTTGGGGCAAAAGAAGGTTCTTCAGATTATAAAAAGATAAGAAAGAGATGGTTCTTTAAAGAGCCTTTGACTGAATGGTTCTTTGTGGAACCAAAAATGGTTCTTCTATGGCATCGCTTGAAGAACCTTTTGAAGCACCTTTATTTTTAAGAGTGCAGCACCTTGGCAACAAACCACAATGCCCTAGCTTCATGATGATGCATTTTTACACAGGTAAGCACCACTAAAATTTTCTTATACATTTCTTAACACTGGTTGACAGGTGTGTGAACCAGTGTTTTCATTTTCATTTTAGTTTAGGTTTTAGTCATTTTTTTTCATTTGCTTTTGTCATTTTTATTAGTTTTGTTATATCTATATATATATATATATATCTATATATATATATATACACGCCTTCTTTCTTTGTGTGCACATTTGGGCAGCATTATGCTAATATTTCCACATAGTGAGGTAGATATGTGAGGGTGTGTTAGAACAAGCCGTTTTAGGGGGGCGTGGCAGAGTCTTAACTTTGATCAAGAATATCTCTTTGGTTTTGAGACTTTAGTCTTTGCAACTTCAGGGATCTTATCTATTCACAATCAGTTTGTAACACTCCAAAGAGAAAGGAAAACTTGAAATCGCATCATATGACCCCTTTAATGTAATCAAGGGTTACTTAAGGACAAATGCTACAAATTGTACACTACTGTTCAAGTTTGGGGTCAGAAAGATTTTAATCTTATTCAGCAAGGACATTAAATTGATCAAAAATGACAGACATTTACAGTGTTGTATTAAAAATAAGTGAACTTTCTATTCATTAAAGAATCCTGAAAAAAGTATCACCATTTCCACAAACATATTAAGCAGCATAAGTGTTTTTAAACTGGTAATAATAATAAAAAAAAATGTTTCTTGAGCACCAAATCAGCATATTAAAATTTCTAAAATATCCTGTGACACTGATGATTAGAGTACTAGCTGCTGAAAATTCAGCTTTGCCATCACCGGAATAAATTACATTTTAAAATATATTCAAATAGAAACATTCATTTAAATTGTAATCACAATATTGTTTCACATTATTACTGATTTACCATATTATGATCAAATAAATGCAGCCTCGGTGAACATAAGAGACATTTTTTTTTACCTCTATAATTTGGTGGACTTTGGAAGTGACACAAAGGACTCTTCTGTTAATCGTGGCCCTTGTGCTTTGATTTAACGATCTGTCACAGTTATGAAGTGTATATAAAGTTACTGTACATTGCACTATATGTCCCTGTATATAACAATGTTTGTCTCTTTTAACATTCTTTATCCCATAGACCGGGTCAAGGGAGCTGGAGGGAACAACATGAGGGACCGTGCCACCATCAAACGGTTGAATATGTACAGGCAGAAGCAGAGATGGTAACAATCAGACCTGTCATTTACAAAATTACATATAAAAAATGATAACAATTCAGAATAGACTCAGAATGAGCTTTATTTACCAAGTGAGCACAGACACAGTGAATTGTATGGTTTCCAGTCACAAGACAATGAGCTGTTATTTTATTTTATTAAAAAATTATAATTATAATAATATAAAGTTTTTAAATTATGATGAAGCATGTATATCTCTTTCATTTATATGCCCACAGCAACAGTCGAGGTAAGGTGATCAAGCCCTTGCAGTACCAGAGCACAGTTGCTCCAGGAACTGTGGCCAGAGTTGAGCCCAACATCAAGTGGTTTGGTAAGAGCAATTCCTTTTTTGTTTGTTTTAATTAGTCTTATTGTGTATGCTTGTATTTGTGTATGAAGGGAACCAGCCATCTTTTCCAAGTAATATTATAGGCCACTTATTCTGTGGTCATACCATTCAGAATTCATATTGGATGTAAATATGTCTGATTATGTGAATATTTCTTTGGTTTTCCCATATGCTTCCTGTGCAGCCAATACACGTGTTATCAAGCAGTCATCCTTACAGAAATTCCAGGAAGAGATGAACGCGGTAAAAAAAGATCCGTACCGAGTAGTGATGAGACAGAGCAAGCTACCAATGTCCTTGCTGCATGACCGAATTAAAGCACATGTGAGTATGCACTCACGTTACACATACATGCTGTTTTTATACAAAAATCCTGTGGCGTGATGTGAGAAGACAGGTAGGCTTGGAGTTTTTCAGAGCAGACAATCAAGTAATGCATTGTGATGAGCTCAGTAAAAAGTAGTATCGTGAATCCTAAAGTTATTTATAATTTACTTACAACCAGAAAGTATCAATAAAAATTGATTAAATCAACTTAATGCAATTTTATATGTATTCGAGTATTATAATACAACGTTAGCAACATGGTAACATCTAACTCTGGGCTTTACATGAGTATATAACATTTCTATACTATTAGTGTTGGTTAATATTTTTATTATTTTAAAATTTTCCGTTTTCCTTTTAGATTTGGTTTGGTGGTTTTGTAATTTGTATACTCCTTTTTATACATATTTCTATTTAGCTTTAAGCAACATTTCTCATTTTTTAAAGTTTTTAAGTTTTTTATCTAATATGTATGTTTTATTTTATTTCAGCTTTTTTACATTTTGTTAAATACATCAGCAGCACATGCATGAACAGACTCAGTGTTCACGTGTTGCTTGAGTTTAATGTTCAGTATAATACTCCATGACCTGTCACTGTCAATGACTGGTGTCCTTTCGGCAGCCAGACACTTACTGAGTTGTCAAACAGTGTCAATTTACGTACATGACCTCATGACATTTTCACCAGGAAACCAAACAATATGTACCTGCTTTGTGACGTTCATGGCCCTCTGGATTAAACAAATATATGTTTTTAGTGCAAAAGACACAAATGTTGGTTACACAGGCAATTCAGATTTTATTTTTACCTTCTTGCACTTTTGCCGTCTCCCAATGTGCCTTTCTGTTCATCAATAAACTGACACTGGAGCAAACCACAGCCCAGCATGCCCCTGTCGCTTGGTTACCGTGTAGCAGCAGGTTGCCACAGAAACAGGCTTATCAGTGCGAGGCACATACAGTTGTGAGTACTGGTGCTATAGTTCACCTGTGCTGGTCCCAGTACTTTACTCTTTTATCTCTGATTGACAAATCACATGGCCATATGGTTAGTGTCAAAAGCCCAGTCATGGAGCCAGCTTGATATTTCTGGCTCTGTCAGGATTGTGTTACAACGTAATTTTATAAGCATTTAACTCATCCTGCACCCTAGCAACCATTCAGAACACTATAGCGACCCTATAGCAATGCCCTGGGCACCCTTGCATCGTGGTAATGAGTTTTGCACTGGCGAAAAATGTTCAAATCTAGTTATGAAATACAAATGCAAAATAATTTACTGTATGTCTATGTTCACTGCTGTGTTTCTAAAGCTGAATGTGTTGATGTGCCTCATTACTGAGTCCATTAATTTATAATAATAACTGCAGTTACGGAAATGGTGATTGATAACATCAGACTCTGATTCTTGATTGGATACCATAAGGGTAATGACTGAGTTTAATTAAACATCCAGTATAGAATTTTGCTTGGGGATGTGAGCTAAACCAAAGAAGAATTTATTTCAGACTTCAGTGAGATAAAGTGTAATTTAAATAAACTGTTTTCTTTTAATTGTACATTTAGTAGCTAATTTGCATCCTTTACTTGAATGTTAAACTAAAGTTGGAACCCAAGATTTGTGAACTACTGTGGTTAAACTGATATTAATGTTCCTCTGCAGATAACCAGTTCAGAATGTCCATCCTGGAGCGGCTGGAACAGATGGAGCGCAGGATGGCTGAGATGGCTGGTCAGCAGCAGCAGGGCTGTGGAGGAACAGCAGGGACTGGAGGGGGAGGTGGAGACGGAGGCGCCAACAGCCAGTCTCAGGTATAGCAGCACATCAGTAATTGTTATGTATGAGATTAGAATGTATTTTAAAACAGCAACACAAATGCTCAGTCAAATTTTAAAGTCTTTCCGTTATAGTACTCAAATTAAATTTTTTAAATGCAAATAATTCCTGTAATGGCAAAGCTGACTTTTCATATTGCTTTTATTATAAATTTTGCAAACTTTTTTTGCTCCAATCTTTAATGATCCTTCAGAAATCATAAAAAGCATAGTTATTTAAAACCTAAATGTAATTTGGATTTAAAGTAAACAATATTAAAATTCAGTTACTTCACCTGGCTGAAAAGATTTGCATTTTTATCAACATGGTGTTTATTAACATTGCTTTTGTGAGTCAGTTAAACAAATTCATTCAAACGATTTGTTCACTAATTGTATATCGCTGCAGCTTTTCTACTCATGAATTATAGCTTTCAGTTTGAGCCATAAAAACTATTACAGAAAGCAGTGGATTGTGACAGTTTATTGAGTTTGTGAAGATGTCAGGCCCTCCATTTTCTTCTGCAGTGTATCTCGGGACAAGCAGGAAGCTCTTTTGAGAGTCGTGTGGTGGTTGTTTGTGAGAAGATGATGAACAGGGCCTGCTGGGCCAAATCCAAACATCTGATCCACTCCAAGACCTTTCGGGGCATGACCTTGCTACACCTTGCTGCAGGCCAAGGCTACGCCACCCTCATTCAGACTCTTATCAAATGGCGGTGAGTTAAGAGCACTTAGATCTGTCTACATCTATGTGTAAATATGTTTTAGCTGATTTGGTGTTATTTCCCCTGTCACTAAGCATGAGAAATGGCATTTGTTGTCTTATCCAGCACGAAGCATGCAGACAGCATTGATCTGGAACTTGAGGTGGACCCTCTCAACGTGGATCACTTCTCTTGTACTCCACTGGTGTGTACCTCAAGCAATTTTAATTGAACTTAGTAAATCTTAGTAAAAAAAATGTTGCTTTTCCCACACCCATTTTTTTCTGCTTCATTGTTGTAGATGTGGGCTTGTGCATTGGGTCACCTAGAAGCAGCTGTGGTTTTGTACAAGTGGGACCGGAGAGCACTGGCCATCCCAGACTCTCTAGGGCGCCTGCCCCTCTTCATCGCCCGCTCCCGTGGCCACACCAAGCTGGCAGAGTGTCTGGAGCAGCTCCAGAGGGAGGAACAGCAGCAGCAGCAGACCCCGTCTTCCTTACCCCCAACCTCTAGCATGTCTTTCTCTCCCAATCCTGACATCCCCACCTCTAACAGCTGGATGGTGAGCTGGGGCAGCGACAGTATGGTGGCCCCCAGCAGGCAGAACACTGGTACAGCCACCACTACTACAACCCCTTGCACCAACCAGAATCCTGGTGAGAATCTCTAAAGTAGTTAGCTACTCTGCAAGCTGCTAACAAAAAGTTGCCAAATGCATGCAAGCTATTTAAAGGGATAGTTCACCCAAAAATGAAGATTCTGTCATAATTTACTTACCCTAGTTGTTCCAAACCTGTATGACTTTCTTTCTTCTGTTGAGCACAAAAGAAGATATTTTGAAGAATGTTGGTAACCAAACAGTTGACGGCACCCAATGACATCCATAGTATGGGGGGGGGGGAAATACTGTGGAAGACAATGGCTACCGTCAACTCTTCTGTGAATTAAATGCCTTTACTGAAAATACATTTTTAATAAGGAGGTTGACAACATTAAACTTTAACAGATAAATTTACACTAAGTTCAACAAAAAAAAGTAATATATCGGAAACAAAAACATTAGTGAACGGCAGCATTTAACCAAACTATTTGCTATAGAAAAAATGAGAAATTCCAGGGACATCTGCACTCATTGTTCATTGTTCATTTACACATCTGAATGAACTAATTCACTAAAATGAATCAGACTTTCCAGCACTACATATGAGACAGATAGGGGGCATTTTAGGAGAGCTCACTAAGTTGTAAAGGCTACTTGTTGAAAAAAACGCTGCTTGTAGCTTATTACTGGAAAAGCTGCACTATTTAGGAAACAGATGAACTTGCTTTACTAAAAAGATTATAGCAGATTTGCTCGCTTAATGTAATACCTTATTACATTTGCTTCAGTGAGCAGTACTTGCTGCACAATCTAATTCCAACTGTCTTATTTTTTTAGATTATCACTTATAGCACCTCAGAGACAGAGCAAATGTAATGGAAATATCAAATCCATCCTCTCCTCTGAGTGCAACTCACTCTATCTTTCTCTTTTGTGACTAGATTTGAGAAGACCAAGATCAGAGCCCTCTAGCTACTACAGCAACGAGTGCCAGCGGGACCTCCCCCTCGCCAAAAAACACAAGCCCAACCCCGAGTTTGTGCAAGGACAGCTGGATAAGCACATGTCTGTTTCCTTGAACATAGAGCAGCAGACACATAAACTGTCAACCAGCCCTAAGGCCCTTCCTTCCACCCCATCCAGCCCGGATAAGAGCGTCTCTGAGGAGGGTTTGGGGACAGTGGGCATCCTGCAAGCCAAGATGGCCTCTTACCGTGGAGGCCATAAATGGGGCACTAGAGAAGTGCTCAGGAAGAGTAGCATCAGCGGCACAGGGAAGGAGAAGTTGGCCAGCCGGTTGCGACAGCGTGGCGAACCCCTCAGCATGCTGGGAATGGTGGAGAGAGAGATGGTAGACACTGAGATACTTTCTTACAAGGAGGATCTAGAGAACCAGAACTGCCTCTCGCACATGGAGGACCTGCAGGTGAGAGAACTGCACATAAACAAACGCACACGGTGCCTTAAATGGCACCCGCTCACAGTCAGCCAGCCTCATTTACACCTGTACTGATACATTTGTCAGTAAATAGACTCTGCAAACAAACACAGCTACAAGCGAAGAAAGGCCAAGGGAGATATAGAGCACCATCCGTCCTGCTGACATGTGAAATCAGCGCTAGAGAGCGGCGGCGGCGGCGGCCGCGGCCCCGGCCCCACTCTCTCCCGAGACCTTCGTCACCACATTAAACACTTCTTCCATTGATTTGCTCCCATCGCCAGGAGTTAGTCCAGCCCCATTCATCTCTGTCACTCTATGGGGATAGAGGGGCTGTAGCAGTGTGTTCCTCCAAAGTAAACATCCTGGCGCTCGATTGATCTGACGGGTTAGCGAGTATATGTGTGCATTTTGTCACAACAGAAAGTCTGTGCTTGTGCAACGCTGAATGCATGTGTTTGTGCGCCTCGCAGGCGAATATGATGAGCCTGGCAGAGCACATCATTGAGGCCACTCCAGAGCGTATCAAGCGGGAACATTTTCCAACCATGGAGTCTGTTCCTCTGGACAACAGTGGGCTCACCAACACCATGTGCTGGCTAGCCAGTTACCTGGGAGACGTGGAACACCTGCCCGGCATCATCCACTTGAGGTTAGTGGACATCATTACTTTAATATACATATGTATTGGTATGCAGCGACCAGAGTGGAAAATTAACTTTTATGCCCACCAGCCACAGTGGTTGGTGAATGCGGAATTTACTAGCTACTCTTTTGTCAATTCAAAAATATATTTTGAAAAAAGTATTTTCAATATTAAAAAAATATTAGTATTTTTCAATTCAAAACTTTTTTTTTATTCAAAAATATAAAACAGCTCACTATGTATGTGAAAGGTCTGTGAATAAATGCATGAAGCATTAATTATTGCATTATTGTTAAGCATTAACCAAAAAGTGAACTAAGTGAATGATGTAGTTCTAACTCTTTTTTGAAAATTCAAAAAAAAAAAAAAACCTTTTAAAGAATTAATGACAGAGTGAGAACATAAAAATACTTAAATGATAAATGTATACAAATATTTTAATCTTTTGAACTTTCTGTTAATTAAAGAGCACTGAAAAAATGTATCACGGTTTTCACAAAAATATTAAGCAGTGCAGTTAATGTTTTCAGCATTGATAATAATAACAACTGTTTATTGAGCTCCAAATCAGCATATTAGAATCTTTAGATATTTCTGAAGATCATGTGACACTTAAGAATGTGGTAATGACTGCTGAAAATTCAGGAATAAATTACATTTTAAAATATAATAAAATAGAAAACAATTATTTAAAATTTCAGTTTTTACTCTTGATGTTTTGTTTGCCTGTTTGTTTTTGTTTTTTATAAAAAAATAATAATAATAATAATCAGCCCTGGTGAGCATAAGAGACTTCTTTCAAAAACATAAAAAATCCTACCAGGCCTCAAACTTTTGAACAGTAGTGTATATATATGATTTTTGCAACATATGACATATTTTTCTCTAAATAATAATTCTATTAATCCTACCTACGAACATTCAGCTACGTTTTGAACATCAAAAATCAGTCTTTGAACAGCAGCCAAAAATGTTTGTAATTGCACAAATGTCAAAGTAAAGTGAACCTGCTGTTTTTAATTTCCCACCCTGGCGATGATGTGTTTAAGGAAAAACAAAATGTATGTCTAGACCCTGCTAACTCCATGTATGTATGTATGTGTGTGGTTTGTTTCTTTGAGCAGTCCCATATACAGTGAACCCCTGACCCCTCCCTCCAACCCTAGCCTGAGCCCGGGTAACTCGCCCATGCGTGAGGGCCCATTTGAGAAGCCGACCTTGCCTGCTCCATCCGAGTGGAGTGAGTTTCTCCGAGCCTCCAACAGCAAAGTGGAGAGAGAGTTAGCCCAGCTCACACTGTCCGACCCCGAGCAGAGGGAGCTCTACGAAGCTGCACGGCTGGTGCAGACCGCTTTCCGCAAGTACAAGGTACAGGCCAGGGGCTCGGGTGCCATGCGCTTGTGTTGATGTGTGAATAGAGACAGGATGTAAACGTCTATGCACAGGTATTGGTAGGAACGAACACAGGACACCCTCTGTCTCCTTCCTGCTTTGTCCTTCCTTATGAGTTCATAAACACACAGGCACAGAGTAGTCAGTCCCCACAGCTTCAGCATGGGTAAGGTGGCTTATCCAGCGCATGGCCTGGCTTATTATAAGGAGCGATTGCTGTCTCCTGTGGCTGCTTGAAATGAGTTCCCACAAAGATTCACCAGCTGGCCAAACTGACGCTTGTGCTCAGAGGCGTCTGCTCTCTCAGCACCAGATGCAGCCAAGCGAGAAGGGTGTCTTTTCTCTATCACTTTCATTCTCCTGTAAGTGAACAGCCTAGTGGGCGTCTGCCAAGTGTTGCCCGCTCCTCGGACTAACCCATTTCCCTCTCTTCCTGCAGGGACGCCCACTGCGCGAGCAACAGGAAGTAGCCACCTCTGTCATTCAGCGCTGTTACAGGAAATACAAGCAGGTAATCCTTTAAGATGCTCTGACATTGCTTTTCCAACCTTTGCTGGATGTCTGGTTAATACGTCAAGCTCCAGTAAATGCACTTGAGTCAATTATAAGGCCTGCTGTAGAGGGAATTGTTGTTTAAAAGCTCTTGGAGAGCTCTTAGTGCAAGGTCACACGGTTTTCCATTCATGACAAATCTATTTTTCCCCCTTGCAAGCTAACATGGATAGCCTTGAAGGTAATTTTTTTAGTTTGATTGTTCATGCATTATTTAAAGCAGATTTTCTTTTGTCTGCACAAATATAAAAATTTATTTAATGGCAATGGCCACTTACACACTGTGTCATTCGCACATTTTGATGCAAGTAGTTGCAAGGGACGCTCCATATACTGTGGACTAAAGAGGACGATCTCGCTAGACCAGTGGTCACCAACGTGGTGCCCGTGGGCACCTGGTAGCCCGCATGGAGTCTCTGAGTCGCCCGCAAAGCACGTTCTATAAATAACCTAAATTAGCTTCGGGCAATAAATGATATCATATCGAGATTATGATCAAATTTATGTTAATGATGATAAACTCTGGACATTTTACTCAAAAAGGATTAATCTAACATTCTATCACACAACAGAAATAAATGTTACAGCAACCAGTCAGTGCATGTCGCTAATAAGTCTGCATATTCTGTGTGTCTGTGTGAATGCGTGGAGTAGTTTAATCTGATACACAAACTCAAACACACGTGACTCGCTGTGTTTTCGAGATGGTCCTCACTGCAGAACACAAGATCCAGGGGGCGAGGTTGGATCCAGATCCAACTCCTCCCATCTTACATATACCTAAACCCACCCATCTCCACCCCTAAACCTACCATCTCCACCCCCTAGATGTGGATCCAACCCCGCCCACTGGATCTTTGTACTGCAGTGAGGGGCTACTGGTGTTTTCAGCGTCTGCATCTCAATATATGAGGACATGAACACATGCGCTTCATATTCAGAGCTGCTCTGAGAGTCACTTCACCAACTTTATGCAGTTTCATTTGAGAAAAAATACCGTCAAATACACGCTGAAACTAAAAAGTCCTTCACGACAAACCGTCAAAATAAAAGTCCGGTTTAACGTGAAATTATATGACAACCAAGTTATTTTTTTATGTTGTGCAGCATCATGTCTGATAAAATAAACAAAAAAAATTTAAAATGCAATGTTTTGTTGTAAATTGATTTTCATTTGATTGCATTTTAAAAGATTGATTAAATAGTTAAAGTTTTATTAATTCATTTCACTAGACAAATTTGTACTGAATCATAAAACACAGAATCCATAAGAAATCAAATGGAAAACACAGAATTTAGGGGAAAATAAAATGCATTTATTTTCAAGATATCAAGATATAAAAATATCAAGATATCAAGATATTTAAAAAATATATATATATACATATATATATATATATATATATATATATATATATATATATATATA